CAATACACATGACACAAAATTGTGCAGCTGCGTTTGCTTCGTAAAAGTCTATGAGGGATATGTGGTGCGAAGATGTGTTATGTGTTTATCAGTGTCTATGTCATAACCATCACCCAACACCTGGAGTAGCATGTCCCGGCGAGTAGCCGGGCTAACATATCTGTTAACAACAAATGAAGCCACAAAACGTCGAAATCGAAAAAAAAGCAAAGCGGCAGAAACAGAGACAGTGCAAAGACGTAGCTCTGCTCTGTTTCTGCCGCTCTGCTTTTTTTTTCAGATTTCGACGTTTTGTGGCTTAATTCGAGTTAACTAAGTATGTACCAGCTTGTCCAACAATCAACTCTACCGGGGCAAACATTTTCCGCAGCATTTTATTAAAGCATTTCTATCTCGCTCTCTCTCCATTGTCGCGTTCATTGACTTATTGATGCACTATTGGCAAGTCGATCTATTATTTATATACTTACTTTGATTATTGATTGATTGATTGATTGATTGATTGATTGATTGATTGATTGATTGATTGATTGATTGATTGATTGATTGATTGATTGAGCACATTCTATTGTGCGATAAAGAGACACTGCGCTTCTAAGGGGATGGGTGGGACGTTGCCACACTTAATAGGAGGTAATACAGGAAGGCAGTGAGTAACGGAGACGTAAATTAAACGTCAAGAGGCTGAGACAAGAGACGTAACAGACACAGTATACCATCGGGCATTGCCGTTGTCGTTGCCGCATCGTTCTTCTGGTATACGTCAAACACAATTTCCATGCTATAGATTGAAAAGTAACACCAGTAGGTAGGACTAAAGAAGGTGTTGCCACTAATATCGCAAGTGTGTTCCACCCATAAACGTGCAGCGCATGACACACTCGTGGCTTTTAAAACACTTCGGAAAACTGTCTCGTCCTATTACTGTCAGTGAGAGTTTGTCGGGACGGTTTACATGTTCACAAAAGCAAACCGTTTCCCACACTACTGCGACAAGATATTTAACTGTACGTATACCGCACGCACGTCTCTATAGAGCACGTACTGCATTTTCAAAGAGAATGTCCCTCGGTGCATCTTCAAACAACGTTTTGTAGCGGGGCTACAATTAATATTTCGAGCCAAGTTCAACTACCTTATTTAATTGCATATTGCCCACACTGGCGAATTATTGTTCACTAATTGATAGGTAATGTTTGCTCTTATAAACGACAATGTTGTTCTGGTGCAGTCTCAAGCCGATAATTCAGTTTTCGACAACACTTTTCAAAGCAAAAAATATAAAAAGAAAGCCTTGAACATTGACGCTTTTTTTCCTGCCGAATAAGAAAACGTATTCACTCAGTCATGACGTCTTCACAAACACACGCACGCGCTCCCGAGTGTGCAAACCACGCAGGATTTAAAAAATTGGAATTTTTTTTTATTAATCCTCCTTGGTGCGAACGAACTCAAGCGAATGGGCACACAAACACTTGAGAAAACAGACGCGAAATGCGAGTGGAAAAGCGTGAGCCACACGAACGATATCGAGAACGTTGTGACGGGCCGCCGCCGATGACCAAAAGAGGAAAGAGTCGGCGGGCAAGAGACGCGCGTGTGGGCCCCCGCGTATACGTCGAGCCGTCGGCGAGATTTCGGGCGGATGACGCAGACATTTGTGACCGAGGCCGCCGAGGTTTATTTGTTGCCCCACGTGGATACCCCACGAGGGCCTGTGAAAGATATTCACGCCTCGCTGCCATCGGTTTATTATGGCCTCGCACCCCGGCTTCTGTACGGATACTGCGACCAGCAGCCCCAGTCGAGGCACCGAACGCCATTGATGGGAAGAGCAGAGTCGATGCCGCGGAAGCTTGGGCGTCTTGCCTGAATCGGAAAATGATGCAAGACTGGGCGAGTTGTCAAAGGTTTATATTTAAAGCAGCGCAACAGACGGGGAGGGGGGGGGGTGACCACCGGGGATGCTTTTCTTTTTTTTTTTCCACAGGACACCGAGCACAAATCACGCGGCCATAACACTCGCCCCGTTCCCCGTCCCTCCTTCCATGGGGAACTCACGTACGCTTGTGCCGATTGTTGCTGTTGTCGAGAAGCCCACCGCTGACCTGTTCTTCGTTAAAACACTGATCTCTGATCCTAATGATGACACTGGCACTCGTCCACGTCAAAACAGCATTCAACAGAGTGTCTTTTGCACTGCTTGAAGTATGTGTCTCAATTGGAGACAAAAAGAAGGGGCACTGTAACAAAAGGAACACATTTCGGCTAGTTGGTAATCATTCATCTTGGTGTGGAAAAAGCGCGCAAGCAGCAGTGCACGAGATGTGGGGGGGGGGGGGAGCGATTGCTAATTAGGAATAGTGCCTCCCTTAAAGAAGGACTCCTCTATACACCGGGTTGTTTTTGTGCACATGTTTCAGAAAAAAAAAACTACATGGTGAAAAACAAAGGCTTGCGAAAGGCTGAATTAGCCGAGCACCGCTTGAACAAAGACTGTTCTGTAACCATGTGTGATATATTATTAATAACAAAACCTTCGAATAATAAACTTGTCTCCATGTCAACGCAACCTATGGCTGCCTGGGGAACCGCAGACACAGGAGGCATGGCTATTGGTGTTGTTTAACGTCGCTCTCTTCACCTGTCCTTCTCCCATCTCACTACAAGGCAGCAAATCCCCTTTAATTAACTTCGATGTATTTTCCTTGTTCTATATATCTCTATCAAGTGTGTATTTTATGGCCCTGGCATTCTGTAGACACGCAACCGTGGACTGTCGTGTATAGGGCAAACTTGCGCAGCGAAAACACCTGAAAGCTACTTCTCGTCGAGACGTGTCCTTGTCATCGACGTTTCGCCTCGTCACTCGGTGAAAGCTGAGCCTACGAAGGGCGTACACCGCACTGACTCCCCCTCGCTTAGGCATCAGTCACCGGCCTTAAATGAAAAGTCGTATACACAAACGTCACCGGTCTTCTCGCAATCCTCTCAATCGTGGTCCACCCCACCTCCCAAATCCCCCGCACGAGAGCTTGTCTGGATACGGTACCACTCGTCAATGTGGCCCCAGTACCCCTGCCCGCCTCAGACGGGCCGGGGAAACGAAAGACCACAGATCCTCGCCGCACGGAGTCACGAAGCCAGAGCTGCCGACCCTTAGCGCGGGTTTCGACTCCAGATTAAAAGCCCCGGCCGCCTGCTGCTCGTTTAACAACCTTGTCCCGTCGCCTCGGGGCACTTCCCCCCCGCTCTTGTTTTTGAGCCGCAGAGATGAAGCAAACCGCGATATCCTTCGATGCATCCCTCGTTCGAATAACGTGGCGACGGGGGAACGGGCCTCCTCTTTTGGGGACGAAGCTCGTAAAACGGGGACGCTGGCAACGAGTCCCCTCGGTATATGGAGGTGACTTCGATCCCGACTCGTCGGGCGTTGTCGTTCGGTGCTCGGGCTTGGCCGGGTCCGGGTGCCAAGTCACCAGAGAAATTGGTTTCGTCCACAGACACGCGCGTTGAAAGGTACTATATTACCTCGTGTTATACGGTTGTCGTTAACGGTGGGGATCCTTTCCGCGAGTCTGGACTGGGTCTCGATTTTATGGCTTCGCCAGCGATGCCTGGCGGCTGTGCAGTTTAATCTCGCTTGTTTTTACGCTTACTCTTTTCGCTTGTATTTTTTTTCTCGTAAAGCTACGTTTTCTCCAGTCACAAGTCTTTTCTCTCCATTTTTTTTTCTTCAATAGCTGCCTAAACCAACGACGATGCTTTCCACAGTTTACTGTCGGATGTTTCAACACCTGCCATTTCATTTTCGTAGAACGTAATGACTTCGACAGTGACGCCACGGTCGCTGCTAGTAACGCAATCGGAATCCACTGTGTTTTTACGTGCGTTTTAAGGAACTACCTGGGAGCATTTAGTATAAACTGGCAACGCATAAAGAAGTGGCGTGATAAAGTGGTGTAGAAATCGTGCACTGCGTCGTCTTGGGTAAATTAGCAATCCAGTATATGCCTTCGCAACGCGCTTTTCGAAGAGATAAAAGCTTTCTCACTTTCTCAAATTTCAATCCCTGCGTGCCCCAACGCGCCTTCATTTTTTTTTTCTGCAGGCGGTACTCGCAGATATTTGAAGCCAGACGGTTTCATCTCTTAACTGAGCATGTGACCTGCACTTCTTCAACTTTCTTTCAACTCAGCTTCTCTGACGGCTTATATAGACCCCACGCCCATCGTTTGCACTCACATAAGAGTACGCAGGCTAACAGCATAGCTTAATCCAAGCAGGCTTCCAAAGAAGTACTGCCACATCCACTGTTTTATCCCGATGGACGAGGGGAAGGGTCAAAGTTTTATTGCAGCACCACCCCTCACTCCTCGTTTGTCGTGTCAATCCAAAGGACATACTTCATAATCGATAAAATCATTACAATGCAACCCTGACGTGCTTGTCGTAACGGCCTTCCTATGGCCCTGGCTTTCCTGGAGCAAAGGTAAGAATTTAATAGTTCTTGGATTGCAACGCCAGCAGGGCTATGGCCCTAACCCTGCTCTTTGACACACTGGTTGGATGAGTCCAACTGCGTAAAAGTACAGTACAAACATTGCCTCCTCCCTCCCGCCTTACGTGATCAAAGAAGGCTCCTCCCTCTCCCCTTATAGTGTGGACACCTGTATTACAGTGGATATGTTATATAACCAAGCCCTTCTTTCGTCCGCAAGGCTTGGACAGAAGAAATGCTAGGGTAATTCAGTTCATAGTGTGCCCTCCTTGATGCATGCATGGTCTCGCATAATTATAGTAGCAAAGAGTTGCTACCGTACGCGGACGAACGCAGTCCAACTTGCGCATATTGCACGTGACATTATAGACACGGACGAGCGCCTATACTTGTGTCTCCTGTCTTCACCAAAGTCGCGCTGCATTCGTCCTAGTATGTAACAACTCGCCCAAGTCCAGGTATGACTGCACTGACCGTGTTTCCTTCTCTGGGGTCGCAGTGAGCCGCGAGAAAGCGTACGTGTACGGCGTGTCGGCTGCGGGCGTGGCGTACAGCATCACGCGGGCCTGCAGCAAGGGCGAGCTGAACGAATGCGGCTGCGACAGCGCCATCCGGCAGCGCAAGCCCCGCGGCTCCTGGGAGTGGGGCGGCTGCTCGGACGACATCGGCTTCGGCGCGCAGTTCAGCCGCAAGTTCGTGGACGCCGGCGAGGACCCGGCCACGGCGTCGGGCCTCATGAACCTGCACAACAACGAGGCCGGCCGGCGCACGCTGCGCCGCAGCATGGAGACCGTCTGCAAGTGCCACGGCGTGTCCGGCTCGTGCTCGGTGCGCGTGTGCTGGCGCCGGCTGAAGCCGTTCCGCGCCGTGGGCGACGCGCTGTCGGTCAAGTTCGACGGCGCCACGCACGTGCACATGACGCGCGCCGGAACCAGGGCGGGCGGCCGGAAGCGCCGGCCCCGGCTCCGGCCCGTGCTCAGGGACGTCAAGAAGCCCGGAAAGAAGGACCTCGTCTACCTCGAGGAGTCGCCCGACTACTGCACGCGCAACGAGACGTGAGTGGCGCCCCCGCGCGCATTCGTAACAGTATCCGTGGTCTTCCACGTATATCCGAGGGCCGCGCCGTATAGCGGAGGACTCCCGGAACTGCACGAGCCTATAGCGTACCGCCTCCATTGAAATGCGATAGCCGCGACCGCGGGATCGAACTCGCGACCTTCGCTGCTGGCGCTGTCGGCGTTTCGCTTGCTTCGCGACGCCTGCACGCAATGCACAGAGTGGTGTGCTTATACAGGGTGTCCCACATAACTTGAGCCAAGAATTCAAAAATAATAGTCACTTCAATGGCGAATTGAATCAAACGCGTACTACTCACACTAGACTGTAGGTACTCAGGCTATCTTTTTATTTCTCCCTATACTAATCATTAATTCTTAATTACCTAATTGTTAATTATGGGCTGGAAACCCAAAATGTCAACACTGAAATGTAGAACCCTTTCAGAAGCCACCGACTGTTTCCTGCACGATGCGTCTCGCACTGTTATTTTTTCCATGGTGTAAAGAGAGAGCCGTGAAATTGAAAAAAAAAAAAACTGACGGACCGCGAGCGCACTGCTATAGTGCCGATTTTCTTTACAATGCGGAAAAATAACAGCGTTAGACGTATCGTATAGCAAACAATTTATTCGGTGGTTTCTGAAATTGCTCTACATCTCAGTGTTCATATTTCCGGTTTCCAGCCCATAGTTTAAAGATAGGTAATTAAGAATTATTAATTATTTAGTATGGGGAGAAATAAAAAAATAGCCTGAGTACCTACAGGCTAGTGTTATTAGTACGCGTTTGATTCAATTCGCCGCTGAAGTGTTTTTCATTTTTAAATACTTGGCTCAAGTTACGTGGAACACCCTGTACAGCTCTCAAGTGCTGGCAGTTTTTTTGGTAATATGTAGAGAATGTTACACTGCTACAATTACGGATATCCAAAACTTCACACAAAGATGGCGTTTCCCCAGCACGCATTTGCACTCGCGATTCGCCTCATGTAATACCGTATCGTAAACATCAGTGATTTTTTTTTCTATACGTCAAAAGCTGGGTTCGCCACATGAAGAACTTGAATTTCCTATTTTACATAGCCCCCTAGCTCCGCTAAATAAAAGTCTATTCGACTCACCTAATTAAGTCTCAAGTGATTATTTAACGGCCTTAAGTTGTCTGCCGCTACAGAAAAAGCAATTGTAAGGGCACAGAACAAATATCGCATTTTCATCGTTTTTGATTATTGTTGACAGATTTTTTGAAACACGCTGATTATACCGTAGCCAACAACCGAGTATGCGGTAGCGAGACAGGCGACGAGCCGTGCTAACATCCACGAGGTAATAAATTTTTTAAAAATGTAGTATATACAACCTTCCGAGTTGCTGCGTGCCCATGGGTTTTCTGGATACGTCCGCCACTGCATTTTTTTTTTCACTTTTTATTTATTGCATCCTTAAAGGCCCGAGGCATTAAATAAGGGGGGGGGGGGGGGGCAAAAAATACACTGTGAGGGTGTACAATTCAATGTGAACAAATTATTATAAACAATACAGTGCTAAATACGCATATGGCAGTTTGGTGAAGAAAGACAACAAAAACTAACCAAACAATAAACAAAAGAAACGTTTGACTGGGAATTAGAGTACAAACAACATGGCAAAAAAAAAGGTTGTACATACAGTACGCTGGTAGGATATACCTACAGCCATGGGTTATGGGGGGGGGGGGGGGGGGGAATCAAAGTGGGATTCCAATTTTGCGCGAAATGATGTGCGGTCAGGTGTGGTAACTATGGAGTCGGGGAGGCGATCCTAAAGTGCAATTGCTTGATATAAGTGCTAATTTTCTTTAAACCACAGAAGGCTGGAAGCATTTCGTAGCTGAACATTTTCGTAGCCTGGTCCGCAAGAGCACAAATGGATCACGGCAACAAGAACAGATTCAGACAGCAGCTCGCTGCAGACTGGAGACATGCAGCCCCGTGCATACCTTATTTAGAGACAAGTTTTTCTCAAGGGGAGCCTACGTGGAGCGTGCCTTGGCGTAACATCAAGAAATAGAAAGCGCGCATACCTCCGTGATGAAAAACAAAGAAAAATAGCAAGCTGGGATTCCGGAGCCATTATCAGTTTTCATCGGCCGCCACGCAATGGCCCGTTGACACTAATCCTTCCTGGGCAGTAAGCAGAAAAGATTCGTCGATCATCGGAGGTCGAATTCCTCGCTTGTTTTGACACGCCGATATTTATGGCGCGGCTCCCTTGCTTTATTTCTCTCGGCCCAGCAAAGCTGAAATGAAGGTGGGAGCGGCCCGGGAATCGGACGACAGCAGAACTGCCTTGGCGTCCTTCTGCGAACCAGCTTACAGAAAAGTAAAACGAACAAAAAAATGCATATGAGGTGCCGTTCACGTGTTTCGTGGCCTTTGAATCGTCTCAGACGTCTGCAGGGGCGTGGCTTTACTGGCAGAGTGTAACGTTCGGGTTCGCGCGTGGTTAAGTCTTGTTGGGGGCAATTTAATTGCCTGCACTTTTACTGTGTTTCACAAGTCCCTTTCAGCGCTGTGGAGGCTACAGGGGCCCTCAGCCAATAGGAAGAGCGATTAGCCCCTTCACAAATATTCATCCGCGCAGTGTGGTCTACTCACCGTCTTCACGGCGTCTGCTCCACGAATCGTCTTTGCATGCTCATTGCAGTTAATATAGGTGGTAGCAGCTCTTTGGCTCACGTGTGTAACGCTGTGCCTCCGTCCGTCCGTACTAACATGCCGCAACGCGCTCCCCTCGCCGCAGCTGTTGGAGCGGTGCCAAGTAGGTCACGCCGCAGCTGCGCGTTGACGTCATGCTCCCCTCGCAGTGCGTGCTGACATCACTCTTTCACTTGCCTGCCGGACAATCACCGCTACACCCGCAGCTACCGCCTTGTCCGTTCGCCCGCACTATCTGCCGCGCTGCCAGCACCACTCACTTCACTTCCACCGCTCGCTACACCGCCGACTCATCAGTTCATGCGGAAACTACCTACCTACATACCTACGACTACTATAAGGTGAATGTACATCAATCTGGTCTTTGCCAACTTCGACGTCGAATATCTGCAGGAACCTCCCAGCCTGCATTTCACCGACCACAAGGCCATGGTTGTCAACGCAAAACGCGCGCTTGCTCCGGTCCATCCCCTGTGTATCGACTCTGAAGAAACGACGACTACGACGTCTTACCAAACGATTTATGAAACTTGCACGAAACCCAACCCGCCTCCCGTGTCTTTGCGCTTCAAACAAACGTTTACTCGAGTAAACGCGACACCGAGTTTCGCTTCAAACTGTTCTTTCAGCACCCGCATCAACGCCCGTTTCAACAAGGTCAACGCCGTGCACACCGCTGCTGCTTCGTATCCCATCAGGGTTCCCTTCGGGAAGATGGTCTATTAACCATCTTAACTTAAAGATACAGTAAAAATGTGAAACAAGCTACCAACTTCGCCTTTTTAGAAAAATTTGATAACTTGGAGATGTAACATTGAGGTGACTCAATCGATGCCATTTGTCAGAAACAATGCAATGAGTACAGCGTCGCCATCTCTGCGTTGCTACCGAAAAACATGAGCGAACCTTATAGACACATTTTTAAAAGACTTCTGCACCCCAAATCAAATGCGTATCTCAAAAACGTAGTTCTATTATCGGCAGTATACAGCTGGCGAAGCCCCATTACACAAACCTAAATAAAAAATACGAGCAGTATTTGGAAGTGAAGGAATTCAACAATGCAGGATGGCGACTATAAAGATTCGAAGTGGACGGCTCTCGCTTCAACAGGCACCGCCATCTTGTCCTACGTATACGGCACCTCTTGCGTACGTTAGCGTTGAACGCTATATGCCAGAAATTTCTTTCGTACGTAGGAGTTCTGGCTAGCCCCGCCGCGGTGGTCTAGTGGCTAAGGTACTCGGCATCTGACCCGCAGGTCGTGGGTTCGAATCCCGGCTGCGGCGGCTGCATTTCTGGTGGAGGCGGAAATGTCGTAGGCCCGCGTGCTCAAATTTGGGTGCACGTTAAAGAACCCCAGGTGGTCAAAATTTCCGGAGCCCTCCAACTACGGCGTCTCTCATAACCATATGGTGGTTTGGGGATGTTAAACACCACAAATCAATCAATTAAAAGTTCTGGCTATGTTAACGTTCTGCGCACGCTCAGTTTAGAGCACGCAACACTAACGTCAACGCTAAGTCGTTGTGTTTACTGTTTTCCGCTATGCTAAATCTACCTACTGTCATCGTATTAATTAACTCTATAAGAATACGAAAACACATGAACAGCATTAAGATTTGTCCAGTTCGTTTGGTCATACTGAAAAAAAAAGAGTAACCTGTGCGAGAAGTTAAGACGAAAAGAAGGAATGCATACGACACTTAGAAGTGCAGTCCAAACACCATGTGTGTTTCCTCCATTCGTCTTAAACTATAGCGTTGTTACCCTTATTTGAAGAGAGGTCATCTCCCTTCAGGCAGCGCCTTTGTGAAGAATAGCTTCATCTATCTGCGTCAGCTTCACTGATTCGATAGCGCACGCTTTGTTTGCCTGCGTGCGAGCACTTCCTAAGTTGATAGGCGGGTCTTTTTCAAAAATTGTTCGCACGTACTTAAAGTAAATACGCTACCAAACGTCTCGCTACTTTTGATTTCATACAACAGCACACGTTTAGGCTTTTCCAAGACAGCATTTCGATATAGCAGTTTTATGCATATTGTATATGCCTACTGATCACAGCAAGTATACAGATGGTTTAAGATTAAAACATTTTCAATATGGGAAGCGGGCGCGCCAAAACTTTCGTAAAAGGTGGCGCCTATAAAAAAACGATATCTATCTAGAACCGTGGTAGAACTTTGACAATAAACGTCTTTATTAACACTCAAAAAACGACCCCGCATATTTTCATTTATACACAAATCGTTCGCTTTTAAACATGTAATCGGGTTACGTATCTGCGGTGAGGGTCTGCTGGCGGCCACATCATTGGATATGTGTTGTAGATATTGTTACGAGAAGGAGACCGACTCGGAGGGGTAGTCACAGATGTATTTACAGCCGGTTAAGCGAGCAGCGCCAGCCACACAGATTAGCTCGCGCCAGTATATATGCTTTGTCTTCTTCAACTCCACTCACTGGCACGTAGCAATATTTCCTGCGCCCACCCTTTGGCAAGTGATGGCCTCTTGAGTTTCCCTATGTACAGGTCGCCCTAATTATCACGCAGCGCAATTTCAGAAAAGAGGATCGGCGTTACGCAAAGCAGAGCTGGTGAATATTGTTTCCAGTGTACTGTAGTAGCCGCCAATAAATGTTTCGCTAAAGATAATTATTAATTACTAATACTCATATTCGTAACTCGAATAGTACTCGTCTAATTATCAAAACGTCAATGAGGCAGGTGTGCGCATGTTGAAGCGACATCTGTCTGTGCCACTTTCAAGAACGTATACTAAATGCTTGCTCTTTTTTTTCTGGTTATAAAGAAAGCCCGCGAAATACGAAAAATAATACGCGACTGGACTGCTGCGCGCATCAGAAAGAAGCGCCCTCAAACTGATATAGTGTCCTGTCTCAGTACACCGAAGCGCCCTCGATCGGCGCGAACAAGGTGGAATAAACGCGGTTTCATTCATTCAACAAGCTCGCTTTGAGATAGCTATTAGCAATGAAGGAAATGTAGAAAGAAAAAAAAACGGATCGCGCCATCTTCCACTTCTTGTCCGAAGAAACAAGCCGCCTCGATCTTACACAGTCGGGCAGTAATCGCTCTAATCAGAACAGTGCATGATCCGGCCGCGAACAGTTGACCGCGAGATGCGAATGGTGATAGCGACGTAACAGTCAAGCGGAAGGAATCGCTGCATAACGGCTGCACATGTTGTTGGCACCCGAGCCGTACTCTTGCCAATGTGCAAAACGCTGTCTCTGGCAACGGGAAAGAGGCAAAGCGGCTGTTTCCGGTAAGATTGTTTGAGAGCGCCACTTTTTTTTTTTTTGAAGGGGGGGGGTGAGCTCAGTCACGTGTTATTTTTCATATTTCACAGGATTTCTTTATTCGCAGAAAAAATGAGCACGTAATTAATGAATTGTTGGAAGTAGCACAGACAGATGTAATTTCAAATGTGCACATCTGTCTGATTTACATTTTGATTATTAGGCGAGTAGTTCTATTTTTATATAGAAACATTGTTAGACTAATTAGTTAATAGCCAATAACAAGAAATAGTAGCGTCTACTTCAGTATACTGGGAACGATATGCGCTAGGTTTGCTTCCCGTAACACCGCTCGTCTTTTTTTTTATCACGCTGTGAGATAATTGGGACCTCCTCAATAACCACCAAGCAGGAATTAAGACAGGACGGCAATGCCAGAAACAGAGAATCTAACCATTACTCCTTCGGAGTCCTTGTGTAATCGGGAAGTTCCTACTGCACAAATCTTTCATGGTGCGTTGTTTACACTACAAAGAAAGCATACTATAGCGTACCTATGCGTCAGCTCCATACCGGTTATTTTCATTTAGCACATTAAACGAAATATCGAACAGTAACCGTACCACTCTCTATGAGTCTTCGCATTGAATATTGGACCGTAACTGCTGAAATCCTTGTCAGGCTGCTCTAAGTGTCCATCCACTGGATAAGGTCCTTAATCCGCTCTACACGATGCTGGTCTTAAGCGACTGAAAGGTTTTTACCACAGGCTGCAGAACTGTGAGCTGACTTAAGGATATTACGCAACCTTTTATGCAACCAACAACCTCTTAAAAGCATGGATATTGATTACTAAAATAGATAGTCTATTTTATGAAGGAAAATCCAGCAGGAGGGTTAAACTTTTTTTTAACAAAACAACGAAGTCGGCCATTTTTTCTGACCCTTGGGGGGGTCAGAAAAAATGGCCGACTTCGTTGCCAGGGTTCAAGGGTTCAGGGTTCAAGGGGTTGCCAGGGTTCAAGGGCCGACTTCGTATCCAGGGTTCAAGGGGTTCAAATGAACCCCTTGAACCCTGGATAATCCGCCCGCTCAGCGGGCGGTCACTTCTGCATGTGTGCTGCCATGTTGATTTGTGACCTCCGTAATGTTACCAGTGGCTACAGCGATAACACGTTGGGGAAAGGAGACACGTGGCTTTACCCTTTCGTTTCCGTGCAGGCTAGCCGTGCTGGGCACCGCCGGTCGCTCGTGCAACAACACCAGTTACGGCATGGACGGCTGCCGGCTGCTGTGCTGCGGCCGCGGCTACCAGACGGTGGTGCGCGAGGTGGACGAGAAGTGCCACTGCAAGTTCGTCTGGTGCTGCAAGGTGCAGTGCCAGACGTGCAGGGTCACCAAAGAGGAACACTTCTGCAAGTGAACTGCGCGCGCCATCTTGCTATCCTCCTCCTCTGCGAGGCGGCTCTAGTCCCTGGCACACACACGCCGCCGCCGCCGCCGCCAGACACACCGTAGACCTGCGAGGCAACAAACGCCAGCCACACGCATGGGAACAGCCGAACGGGGAGAGCGCTTTGGGGAGAGCGCGCCGCACAAGAGCAAGTCAGCGTGCCACACGCATGCGCGAAAGAAGCGAACAAGTCGGCGACGCTGGAGCGACCAATCAGGACTATCCTCGCGCATCAGAACTTGCTCTGACGATGCACACATATGATGCGATCAGCGGACAGGCGGGTGACAGAAATGCGAAGGTGAACGTGTGCCGGTTTTGTCCCAGTAGATTGTGTAGCATGTCAGGCATTCGCGAAGCACGATGTAACCTGCTTTCTATTGCAGACGTGTGCACACTTCCTGTCTGGCGCACTTGGGCAGTTTGCTGGATGCGAGAAAAGGCGCCATATTAGTTCGATTGCTTGGCCCAGGCCGCGGTGGCTTAGGTGAACATTGCATTAACCTAACTCGTCGTGCAATGGCTCGAGTAGCCGCGTTGCGCAGGTGTTTCAACGACGTACCGTCGTGAGCATGCTTAGCGTGAACATGGAAGCGTGTGTTGCATGGTGCTATCACGACGACGCCTACACCAACACGAAGCTCTGCACATGTGCAGCTAGTTTGTGATGCGATTATTTGGCTATCACGTCATCGGTGCGCACCTTCGACGAAGGTGCACTCAGATGACTTACCCCCGTATTCTAGAACGCCCCTTCACTCAACGCTCCACCTTCACTTGAGAAAGCCGAAGGGAGCGCCATCTATGGGCGGGGCAACTCACTGCATATCAGTGATAATTTGCTGCTATTCTTGAGTTGCGCAGCGTCATTTTCAGCCGAGCAGCGGCGCAGAGCTCAACCCTGTCAAGTGAATGGGTGAAAGTCGAGTCTAGGAGCGTTTGTGAATACGGGGGTTAGTGTATGCGATGGCAATTATAGTCTCGCCTCCGCCTTTAATGCACTGCGCATGTGCAGGGCCTCGTGCAGTTCAGTGTATCTGATAACACCACGAACGCGCTCCCAAGTTCATGCTAATCGTGCTCACAAATGTACTTTATTCGGCTTTCACAGGCGATCTGCTCGCCTGAAGCTCTATATGGGCTCGTTGGCGATCAGTAATGTAGCCTAACGTAGGGTTTTGCAAGCAAGGAAGGAGCCATAGAAACCTCTGTCGCGCTGCATTGTGTACATTTCCTCATTCACGCTTATCTGCAATGCACAGCATTCCTTAATTCCCCATGTGAATCATCGCGCCATCTTCGATCCTTCTGATGCCGGAAGCAACCTCAAAAAAAATTGCATGGGTACGTTTTCCTTTTTAATTTTTAATTGATTCAGTCAACTCTACGCAAACTATTTTCAGTGAGGTGTTGCCACAAGCTATCACATCACTCGAGCTGGAGTGATAATTTGCAAGTTGGATCGTTTCCTGTTATCGTTATATTATTTTTTTATTTTATTTTTCGTGCAGTCTCCTCAACTGTTCTCTGTAAATGTAATCTCTTAGCTACACGAAAATAGCACTTCATCGATCCAGTTAAACTTAATCTTCCTTCTAATGTACCACTTAGTATTCACGAAGTACCTCCCAAGCTCTCGCGAATTCAGACATCCAGCAACGTCGTCGAAATAGTCCGGAATAGTTCAGTTTGCTTACCCAACAGGCCACTTAGCAACAACTCTGGCGAAGCTTGTGGGAGTGCCAAGCGTTGATTGCTGCGAACATTTACGCATCCTGAGGGGAACATCGCAAACTATAGCCATTTAAGAAACCCTTCTCCAATTTACGCATCACCAATCCAAGTCATCTTTTTAAGGCCTTTTCATTTCAGTCCAGCGTGAAATCATGTCATATGTACATAGTTTTCCGGCGAGATCCGGGATTAGGGTTCTCGAGCTGGCGGTGAGTTTAATAGCGCTATTCCAAGATTTAAAGCTGAGGTGAGTGTGAAGCACAAGGAGGGGCGCCACCCAGCTTCTGGTCAATCACCGGTGCAGGCACTTATGGTCACCTGCAAGAAAAAGCACCACCGTCTCGTGTGTGGCCACCGAGGAGGTATCGAGCCACACCGAAGCGGAATGTTTGCCGCCTTGGGACACAAATTTGTTGGCTCTATATATCATCTCGCGTGTGTCACAGTGCATTGTGCCATGGACGCGCACATTAATCATGCATTAGTCAAGAACCCGGACCGTTGCGCGATTGTTTTCCGTTGTACGAAGCCGTATCCTGGCAACTTTCATCGGGAGAGCGTTCGGCTATCGACAGTTGCCGTGGTATATAACTAGTATTGCTGCAAGACTCAAGAAATCCTTGTTTTTACCTTGTTTGTGCGATAGAAAAAGAATTCATTCTAGATGTCTTTCGGATCATCACATGTGGATTGTGTTATAAAGACGAGCGGCTGATCAGAGCGCATTTATTGACCAATATCCGTGGGTATTCAGAAATTACGTTGCAGCTATCAAGCCGAGGACCGTGTTATGTTCGTATCCTTATCCATGGATTCCATTGTGCTTTTATTCCCCGTTGCAGCCAGCGGCCGTCATTGGCGATGACGACGACCTGGTGCCATGACAGCCAATGACGCAGGGTAAAAATGCGCAAAATAAAAGAAACAAACAAACTCTTAAACAATGTGGCCTGACCGAGGGTGCATTCTGCTTTGAATTGAACCCATGCTAAAGCGCAAATGGTGCGCAGCCATGGAAAGGGCAAAACAAATGCATCGTTCAAGTCGGCCGCCGGACGTAACCCAGAGCAACAAAAATAAAAAAAAACTTATGTATGGTAGAGCACATGCACACACGTTCAAGAGCATAACTGCGGTATATGTGTACATGCTAAAAACATTTCGCCGGCGTTGTTTCTCGCTATACGAGGTCACGTGACGTTCAGTGCAGCCACCGTTTTTCGTCATCGTGCTATGAACTGAAATGGGCGTTAGCCACCATAAGTACAGATTCCGCGATTTTCCAGCGACCAAGGGGGTTGTCGAGGAGAGCCTCCAACACTGGCCGAATTTCACTGTCCAGGAGGAGTTCTTACTCATGATAATAGTGTTCTCTTTATCACTGTATATGCGATAGGAGCTTTCAGTGTACATCGTCACCGAATCATGCATCTTTCTCTTCGTAGCAAAAGCAGCAAGAGTTGTCCGAGCGGTCTCTTGCTATAACCATGCTTCCGTTTTTTGTACATTAAACTTCCATTGTCTCCATTGACTTACTTCTTATTTAAGCGACTCAAGGTAAGAGAAAACTCCCGTTAATGGCGTCAACACATGCATCCCTCTGACTGCACATTTCACTCTTTTTTTTTTCGACCACCTAATCAAACGAACCACTCCACTTCTTTCTAGTGACTGTATAGCGAAGACCAATAAAACTACTGACCATAAACCTTCACTCTTACGTGTTGTTGTCGTTGGCGTTAATTCTTCTCCTCGCAAGAACAGCTTCCTGGGCAAAATGTATGTAAGCGGGTTGTTTGGTACGTCCGCGAACGTAAGTAGCCCCGTGGTTCCAGACTTTCCCAGATGCAGTGATACACTGTGGGCTTCACTCCACAGTAGGGGCAGCGCTGGACTCGCTCTCTGGATTTTGATTGATGTGTGAGATTTAACGCACCAAAAACCACCACATGATTATGAGAGACGCCGTAGTGGAGCGCTCCGGAAATTTCGACCACCTGGGGTTCTTTAACGTGCACCCAAATCTGAGCACACGGCCCTACAACATATCCGCCTCCATCGGAAATGCAGCCGCCGCAGCCGGGATTTGATCCCGCTACCTGCGGGTCAGCAGCTGAGTATCCTAGCCACTAGGCCACCGCGGCGGGGCCTCTCTGGATTTCGTGCCGACCGGTTGTGCCCCCGCGATCTCTGACTACAGCGCAGCTCTGGCCGACTGGCTCGCCCTACGCGATCTCCTGACGCCGACAAGAGCTCTCGCTTAATGATGCCCCGTCCTCGGACTCCTGCGACTGCGTCCATCTTTCCTATCTCCTCCTTGCTTCTGGCTGTCGCTGTCCCTGCGCCACGCTCTCTCCTTCCCCCTCTCTATCTCTATACTTTTAATCCTATCCTTTTAATCCCCCTTACCCCCATCCCTCGTGAGCTACTGTTGAGGTGTCGCACTCTGATGCAGACAGTTACGGGGCTCCCTTTTCTCTTCTTTGCTCTTTGAGAATCACATAAAAAAGTAAGGACTGTGCGGAGGATAGCGTGTGGCGTTGAAGAGGCGAAGTACGGTAAAACCTGACAATGAATTAGTGCAAATCTGCCACCCCGCAACATCTTCTTCTCGGTTGAATAATATATACGCTCCTATACACGGCGATACAGAGCAGCTGTACGTTACGTACACGTATGGCGAATTTTTTTTTTGCATACTTTAGACAGGAAAACCGGGCTTTTGTGTAGGCAGATGGTGGCAAAGCTGGAGCAAAGTCAAACAATGAAATAGCAACATGATGCCGCCAGCTTATCAGCTCAAAAAGCATGTGATGCTCGGGGTCTGCCGCACGTGCGTATTAGATAAAGTTTTCATTATCATAAATCGACACGCCCTCAATCAATGCCAGAGCGCTGAGGGCATATTGTTACCAAGAGGAGCTGAAACGCGCGGGCCCTAATCGGTATTCGCCGCACTACCGTTGTTTTGTTAATTTTCAGTCAACCATTGTGGTCATTAGTGGAATTTTTCCAATCTCTGTGGCTTCTTCGCGTTAAATGAATTTTCCAGGAGAGATTTTATGGTTCAGGAGTAAAACAAAAAAATAAATCGATTGAACGACTACAAAGAAAGAAAAATATCTGTATAAAAAAGAGAAATTCTTTTAAAAAACCAAATTCTTGGCAACGCGGGACTTGCACACTAGTGTCAACATCCGAAGACACGCGCCGCCACCACTCAGTTCCCCCCCCCCCTCCCTTTTCTTTTTGTTCAGGGTATCTACTCAACTTGCCTGAACATTACTGTAGTTCAATACACACAGAGAACTAATATGCACATTCTTCTCCATGTCTCGGCGCAATGACGAGCACACAAAACTAAAGAATTTACTACCTCTAAAGTAAATACGTATTGTGACGGGCTTTTTTTTTTTTTCAAAATATGCTTTAGAACGGCGGTCTGGATAGACACCTCGCTGCTTGTACGTATCACGGTATATGAGAAAGTGAAGTGAGAGTCGAAAAATGCCAGGGCGGGGTAGAGGGGAGTAATCGGAAGAGGAAACCAGCGAAAACTTACACACGAAGACGCGAAGGAGAACAACTAGAAGACAAGCGGATCAAGAGGTGAACGAATTTAAAGAGAGATAAATAAAGAGAATGAGAAGTAAACACGAAGTCTCTGTGGCTTCTTCTTTATTCTTTCTTTATTCTTTATTCAATTATTACCCCGCTTAGCCCGAAGGCGCTGCAGCAGGGGGGTTACAATGTCGAGAAAAACACATCTTCGTTAATACAGCACACTTGTTCATTTGATAAGTGATTCCGTTCTCTAATGGAACGAACAAAAAACGAATTAGCATACAAATTAGATCTGGTATGGTACTCTAAAATCTTGAAACAATGATAATTTCGCGAAGAGATATAATGAGGACTGTGAAAGTACTTTTCCTTTCGAATGCCGGTTTAACCATGAAATATTTGGTACAGGAGCTTTAGCCGCAGTTTCTTTCGACGCGATGAGAGTAATTTCACCCTAGTTCATTTTTCATATTGGTGCAACTGTCATTTCTTGAGTACCGACTTAGGACAAACCTTGCAGCTTTATTTTGTATTTTTTCAAGTTTGTAACTTCAAGTACTTTGCCAGGGGTCCCACACGGCACAGGGTATTCAAGCATAGGGCGAATGTATGTTGAATACGCCGTTGATTTCAAACATGCCGGCGCTTGTGTCAGGCTGCGATGTACAAAATTAGTGACTGGCGACCTTCGCAACAAATGAATCAACGGTGCATTCCATGAACAGTCGGCTGAAAAAGTTACACCTAAATATTTATAATGCGGTTTTTGTGTTACTATATTATTGCAGATTACATACTCTGAAGCTAACTTGGTTTTTTTACGCGTGAAAGTAACATGAATGCATTTATTGGCATTTAATGTCATTTTCCACCTTGAACACCATTCTTGGTGCGCGAATAAAGGTCGCTTTGGA